ATGAACTCTAACCTGTAAGCCAAATAGAGCTTTTCCTCCCCAGGTTGCTTTTGGTCATGGTGGTTATCATACTAACAGAAACCTAACTAAGACAATGATGTAAGACTTCCCAAGAGGCCCTACCTCTTAAAGCAGTGGTTCTCAATCTTCTTAAAGCTGCAACCCTTTAATACAGTTCCTCATGTTGTGGTAATCCCCAACCATAAAATTATTTTCATTGCTACTTCATGACTGTAATTTTTCTACTGTTATGAATAGTAATGTAAGTATCTGTGTTTTCTGGTGGTCTTAGGCCACCCCATGTGAAAGGGTCATTGGACTCCTAGGTTGAAAACCGCTGGCATAAAGGTTCACCAACTCCAATAACTCCAAAATGGAGATCAAACCTTCAACACTGGGCCTTGTGATGATTAGTTTTAATGTCAACTTACCACAAATTAGACTCACCTGAGTCAGAGGCCTCATTTGAGGGATTGTCTTATTCCCTTATTGGTGTGGGAACACTCAGCTCAAATGTGGGCATTAGCTTCTGGTAGCAGTCTGGATAAGAAGGGTCATGGCAGAAGGGAGATTATTGCTCTTTGGTGGTACGCCGTTCTCTCTTGCTGTTCTTGCTGCTGACTCCATCTCTGGTATCAGAACCAGTGTTTCCAGGCTTCCATGGTTGACTGAGTACCAGAAGCTTTCTAGGGCGCCTCCAGGGTTTCAGTGCCAGACTGGGACTCCTGAAGCCCCAGTCTCATAGACTGAGAAATTACCAGACCGTCAGCTTCTCCAGCGTGAGGCAGCTACTGTGGGACTCCCCTGACTGCTGAGCACCAGCCTCGAGGACCAGGCAACTACCAGGTTCTCAGCCTCTCAGGTGTGATTCAGCTGCTGCTACTGTTTTGAAGTAAGATGATTAAATAAATTATATATATATATATATTTATATCTATACATCTATATCTATATCTATATATACACGTACACTCATCCTATCAATTCTGTTCTTCTAGTGAACCTCAACTAATGCAGGCCTTTAGGAGACACTTAAAATACAAACCATATAGTACAGCTCTCAGTTCTCATCAGAGAAATTTCTTCATGCAGTGGACAGCAGTTAATGCAGAAACTCACAACTAAAGTGCAAAGCACAAGTGTCTGTAGAGTCCTCAGCCACAAAGGGAACATCCACATCATAACTCCTACCCACAAGGCTCGGAGACTACAATGGAAGAGGGGACGGAGAGAGTGTAAGAGCACAGGCATGAGCAGGGTCTTCTGGATATGACAGGACCAAATGGACCCATGAACTCGCAGCTCTGTATTTACCTGCACAAGGCCTGTTCAAGATCAAGCCAGTTAATAACCCAGCATGAAGTAGGAAAGGGCACATGAGTTCCCACCGACAGCTAAAGAACTGTCTTAGTTACTTTTCTCTTGCTGTGGCAGAACACTATGACCAAGACGACTTATAAAAGATAAGTGTTTAATTGAGTTTACAGTTTCAGAGGTGTCAGGGACCAAACATGGACCATGGAAAAGTACTAGCTAGGCCAGAGAACAAGCCCCTGCCCTAAACCAGATGCCCCCAAAGATAAACAACAGGTCAGGTAGGTCAGGGAGCATAGCAACAGAACAATGGGCCCTGACCAGTGACCTTATCACCTAGCACAACATCCTGCAACCTCACGACTTGCACGTCCTCCTTCACCTGCACCCCTTCCCTCCTTCCTGCCCCCTCCCCATCCCATGCTATATAAGCCTTGCTGAGGAGAATAAAATTTGCAGATTGATCAGAACCCTGTCTTGCTGTCTTCTTTCATGTCTCCCCGTCCCTTTCATTCTCTCCCGCAGGTGGGTCGCCCCCATTGACACCCCGCTGGCTGGGACACAGAGGGTCAGAGTCCATAATGGCAGAGCAAAGACATGGCGGCAGGAACAGCTGAGAGCTCACACCTTGATCTGCAAGTAGGAAGCAGAGAGAGAAAGGCACACTGGAAATGGGACCAGTCTTGAACCTCAAAGTCCACCCCCAGTGGCACGTCTCCACCGACAATACCATACCTCCTAATCTGTCCCAAACAATTTGAACCAACTAGGAATCAAGTAGTCAAACATTTGAGCCTATGGGCACCATTCTCCTTCAAGGTACCACATTGTACTCTCTGGCTCCTGTTAGCTTGTGGCCATATCATAATTCAAAATGCATTTAACCCAACTTCAAAGTCCCCATAGTCTTTTACAGTCTTGAAGTGGTTTGAATGAGAATAGCCCCCAGTAGTTTCATATGTTTAAACACTTGGCCTGCAGGTGGTGGAACCATTTGAGAAATATTAGGAAATGTAGCCTTGTTGGAGGAGGTGTGTCACTGGGGGTGGACTTAGAGGTTTCGAAAGCTCACACCATTCCCAGTTAGCTCATTCTGCCTTGTCCTTGTGGATGGAGATGTAAGCTCTCAGCTACTGCTCCAGTGCCCATGTCTTCCCTCCTGTTGCCCACTATGATGGTCATGCATTCTAACCCTTTGAAACTGTAATTCTCAAATAAACTCTTCTAAAATTTGCCTTGGTCATGGTATCTCATCATAACAGTAGAAAAGTAACTAAGACACATTCCAAAAGGTAAGAATTGGGGCACAGTGATGAAATATTGGACCAAAGTAAAACCAAAAACCCAGCAGATCAAACTCCAAATCTTGTAGCTCCATGTTTGATGTCAAGGGGCTTAGATGGCTCCACCCTTCCAGTTTTGCTACCTACAAGATACATCTCTCAGGCTGGTTCTGCACACTGCCTGCTGCTCTCCTTAACAGATAGCCCATGACTCTGGCTGACACTTTTAACGTCTTGGGGTCTCCAATGCAATCCAGGCTTCGCTTTCACAGCTTCCCACAGGGCCTCCATGGCGGACTCCCCTGCTACACACCTGGTCTCAGTGGCTTTCCTTCACCACAGAGGAGGCTTCCACAGCCCCTTATTCACCCATTCCTCATGACTCTAAAGCCAGAAGCACATGGATGACACCTTAGGGTGGCACCTGATGCCCTTTACAGACGCTTCCCTTTGTTGTTACTATGTAAGAGTAGAAAATTCCTTATGCGTTTTGCTTTCCCAAGTTGGAAGCCTGGCTGAGTGAGGTCTTGCTTTGAGGGCACCTTCCCTTTATCCCAACATAGATCAGGTCTTGTCTTGATATCTTCATCTCTTTCAGCACAAGCCTTGGTTCCAACATTAAATTTCCTGGTGACCCTTTTCTCTTTACACTGTAGATTTCTTTTGGTCTCGATTATTCTTTTTTATTGTAGACCTGCATCAGAGTGATTGCTAATAACCATGTGACAAAGTAAATATGAAGCTATCTTGAAAGGTCCTTGGTAGGTTGACCATGCCCCAGTGAATGGCCCCACAGCCGCGGGTGTATGGACGACATCAAGTGAACTGTGCAGAGGTAGACTGGAGGCCATGAAGTTGGGAAGGGGAGGAGTAGGGGGAGGACCCAGACCAGTTAGAGGGAGGAGTGGAGATGAACATGATCAAAATACATTGTACACATGTATAAAACTCTCAAAGAATTAATAAAAATATGATCTGTGTGTATATAGTAAAAGATCCAAACTCTGGAGGAGTGGGATGATGGTTCAGTGGTAAGTGTGTGGGCTGTGTGAGTATGAGAGCCTGAGAGTTCAGAAGCCGGCACCCATGTGAAAAGGCAGGCAGAAGGTAAGTGGACAGAACTAGAAAAGATCGTACCGAGTGAAGCAACGCAGACCCAGAAAGACAAGTGTCACGTGCTCTTTCTCACCTGCAGTTCCTAGCTCCAGATCTCCAGATGTGAGGAGTGTACAACCTGAAATAACTTCTGAAAGCAGGAAAGTTAAAAAGGCGTAGGGAGGCAACAGAGAAGGGAATAGCAGGGTACAAGTGATTCAAAAAAGGGTGGGCTTTAGCTAGTGGGGGAGGTTGATTCAGAAGGAGAGCAAGAAGGAGAAAATAACAGTAAAAATGTCTGGGGAAAGTCATAAGGAATCATAGTATTATCTATTTACCTAAAATTACATATAACACATATAAATGTGTGGATATATATATATATAATATATATATAATACATTATTATATATATATTATATATATATATAATCTAAAAAATTATTTGTGGACTGACAATGCTCTCCTCAAATCCATAGACTATTACGCAAAAACTCCAATCCCAGGCACGAGAAGTCCCCGTTTGAGTTGTTGGTTAGGTTGTCTAAGAAAGTCCCAGAGCATTATAAGCTATTGCTGTTGTCCTTGGTTGCCCTCCCAGAGGTAGAAGGTAAGTTGCTATTGCTAAAGACACCATGCTCTTCAGACACAGGATCCAGAGGACCCAAGCTGGATCTGACCTGAAAACTTCTTTCCTGAGACTAGTTTTCACGGTATCAGAGATGCCACACAAGCTTCCAAGGGAGAGAAGCAACCAACAGTCCTACCTCGCCATGATACCTATGAACCGTAACAGTGACCAGGATGGCACAGTAATCCTACAGGTGCGGTAGCGACATGCACACCTTGGAAATAACCAACAGCTCTCTAATTGGACTTACGGACTACTCAGTAAGAGGGAAATCATGCCTGATGCTGGAAACCTAGCCAGCCACCTGGGGCTAATGAAGTCAAGGATCCTGCAGGAGAACCTACAAGAGCCACTTTACCAAACGTGCATAATTCCCAACTACATTCTAAATGTTTACCCCTGTACCCATGTGCTAGCAAGTTTTCTGTTGTTGTTGTTGTTGTTTTGCTTTGTTTTGTTTTTGTCAAATTGACACACAGGCTAGAGTCATTTGGGGAGAGGAAATCTCAATTGAGAAAATGCCCCTACCATACTGGCTGTGGGTAAGCCTGTGGTGCTGTGGGATGTCTTTCTGTCTGCGGGGAATATGTTTGGCTCTCATTGATTGATAAATAAAGCTGTTTGGCCAATGGTGAGGCCAAGCAAGGTTAGGCGGTGCATTCAAACTGAAGACGGAGATGAAGAAGGGTGGAGTAACAGCAGATGCTGCGAGCCGCCACCACGAGAAGCAAGATGTGAGAGAACAGGTAACGCCACGAAGCCACGTGACAAACATAGCTTAATAGGAATGGGTTGAGTTAGCTCAATGGTAAGAGCTAGCAGGCAAGAAGTGACACACTTCCAACAAGGTCACACCACCTAAGTCTCTCCAACCAGCGCCACCAACTGGTAATCAAGTATTCAAATACACAAGACTATGGGGACATTCCTTATTCAAACCACCACCACCATTAACCTCCATGGCTGTCTTTATCACCTTGAATAGACCCAGTGACCCTTTTACTCCACACTTATACCATAGTAGCATGAGAAAAATGCTAGCCGGGTGAATGTCTTCAACTTTAAATTGGTGACCACATACTTCAAAGGCACCTACACATTGCCCCAAAGTCTTGTGCATGCTTCTGTACTGGAGACCGTGTTTGGTGGTTCTAGAAGTATAGTGCAGCCATTTACATAACCTTGACCAGTTTTGGAGGCAGCTCTGGGGAGGATAAACAGGGAGTAGCGAGGGAGGAAGGGGGGTACCCATCTAGCCAGCCAGATGAGTGATGGGTGTCAAAACCCTCTATCCTAAAGGTGGTTCCTAAACTGAGGTGTGTGGATCACCAAGGATCAAAGTATAAATGCCAAAGGCCGGGCCCTACTCAGGTGGCTGAATCCATGCTCCCACTGTAACAGGAGACACAGGCTGCAAAGAAGGCCTAGGCAGGGGAGGCCCTTGAGCCCCCTGGTAGAAGGTGATAAGGCAAGTAACTATGTCTTCTCATGTCTTAGTCAGGGGAAAGTAGAGGGGTTGCTTCATACAGGAGTGAGGAGATGGCTGAATCCCGTGTGGGAAATCTGGAGGGGCATCCTGGATATGAGGAAGTTCCCAGATGGTTCCAGAAACTTCCCCTCCCCCTATTCAGGCCCCGTGTTGGTCTGGCCTTGCATCACTAGCATTGCTATGGGAATAGCAAGGTGTGGCTTTTAAAAGCAGGTCACCAAATACCTAGCGGCTTCTGCCTTGCTTCCTCTTGGATCACGCACCCCTAATGGTGCTCTGGAAAGCCTGCTCCTCTCATGAGAGTCCTATTGGAAGGTCCAGAGAGAGGAAGTGAGAACTCCCTCCAACAGCAGCAGCGGTCACTGTTTGAGGAAGTGGATTCAGCTCTGCCCAGGCCTCCCTATGGCGCCCCCACCCCTCTCCATCCTGAGCTGCCCCTCTCTGGCTGGCTGCCCCAGTGTGTGCACCAGTGTCTTCTCTCTGCACATCACTTCTCTCGGTTTACTTTTTATCTCCCCTTCTGATTACTCCTTAATTTTCAACAGGCCAAACATGATGTCTCACTCAGTGTTCTACTGCTGTGAAGAGACACCCTGACCACAGAAACTCTTATAAAAGAAAGCCTTTAACTGGGAGCTTCTGCACAGTTTCAGAGGGTCACTCCATTATCGTCATGGCAGGGGTCACGGCAGCAGGCATGGCACTGGAGCAGCAGATGAGAGCAGCATCCTGAGCCACAGGCAGAGACAGACACATGGGCCTGGCTTGGGCTTTTGAAATCTCAGTGCCCACTGCCAGTGATCCACTTCCTCCAACAAGGTCACACCTTCTAATTAGAAGGTCACACCTTCTAATCCTTGTAATCCTTTCAAACAGTTTCACTCCCTGGTGATGAAGCATTCAAAAATACGAGCCTATGGGAGCCATTTTTTTTTTTACTTTTTTATTTATTTAATATTTTTTCCATTTTACATATCAATCCCTGTTTCCCCTCTCTCTCTCCCCTTCTCCCACCTCCCAACCTCCCTCTCATCCCACCCACATTCCTTCCTCATGGGGGGTGAGGCCTCCCTTGGGTAGTCAACACAGGCTGGCATAACAAGTTGGGGCGGGACCAAGCCCCTCCCCACTGCATCACTGCTGAATAAGTCATCGCACCATAGGGAATGGGCTCTGAAAATCCAGTTTGTGTGCCTGGGATAAGTCCTGGTCCCATTGCCAGGGGACCCACAAACACATCAAGCCATGTAACTGTCACTCACATTCAGAGGGCCTAGTGTGGTCCCATGCAGTGGGAGCCTTTTTTTTTTTTTTTTTTTTTTTTTGGTTTTTCGAGACAGGGTTTCTCTGTGTAGTTTTTGGAGCCTGTTCTGAATCTCGCTCTGGCTGACCTCGAACTCACAGAGATCAGCCCGGCTCTGCCTCCCAAGTGCTAGGATTAAAGGTGTGCGCCACCACCGCCCCGCTAGGAGCCATTCTTATTCAAACCACTACACATGATTACAAGATTTAGGTAGCAACTGGTGATTGTCCAAACTTTTTTTCTGCAAGGGGACAAGAAAATTTGTATGCCTGTGGTCTCTGTCATGGCCATTTAATTCAGTTCTTCCTTTGTGGAGCACGGACAATGCTCCAAATTGACAGGTGTGGAGCTGTTCATATAATATTTTATTTTACAAAACCAGGCAGTGGTAGATTTGGGGCTGAGGGTCATAGTTTGTCAGCCTCTGGTCTGTAGAACATCATAGCTCCAGGCACTTAGCCCATCGTAGTGGCCACATTTGAGTCTGGTGTCCACTTGGTGCAGACAGCAGGGACGGGGGTGGGAACCAAGGCACATGACTCACCCGAAGAGCTGGAGCACACGTGCTAGAAAAGGGACCAGGTCGGGCAGGAGACAGGGTGGACGTGGTACTCAGCCTGGCACTCCAGCAATGTTAAGTGACTCATCTACATGGTGCTGAGCACTGGGCAGTAGCTGGGAACTCACAGATGCCTGTTGCGTGGCTCTTGATCATAGCGCAGACATGCCAGGCTTGTGGTAAAGCACTTGTAGAAGCATTAACTCCTTAAACTCTCAAATTACATAGGAGGAAGTTAAGCTTTGGGGGTGGGAGTTGATTTGTCTAAGGTCACACAGTGCCTGAACCAACATGGAACTTGTGCTGTATAATGCTGCCTCCTAGTTCCCACGAGGACACCTGCCCTGTGTGGTGCTCCCATGAGGACTCCTGTCCTGTGTGGTGCTCCCATGAGGACTCCTGCCCTGTGTGATCCTCCCATGAAGACACCTGCCCTGTGTGATGCTCCCATGAGGACTCCTGCCCTGTGTGGTGCTCCCATGAGGACTCCTGTCCTGTGTGGTGCTCCCATGAGGACTCCTGTCCTGTGTGGTGCTCCCATGAGGACTCCTGTCCTGTGTGGTGCTCCCATGAGGACTCCTGCCCTGTGTGATGCTCCCATGAGGACTCCTGCCCTGTGTGGTGCTCCCATGAGGACTCCTGCCCTGTGTGGTGCTCCCATGAGGACTCCTGCCCTGTGTGGTGCTCCCATGAGGACGCCTGCCCTGTGTGGTGCTCCCATGAGGTCTCCTGTCCTGTGTGGTGCTCCCATGAGGACTCCTGCCCTGTGTGGTGCTCCCATGAGGACGCCTGTCCTGTGTGATCCTCCCATGAGGACTCCTGCCCTGTGTGATGCTCCCATGAGGACTCCTGTCCTGTGTGATGCTCCCATGAGGACTCCTGCCCTGTGTGGTGCTCCCATGAGGTCTCCTGCCCTGTGTGATGCTCCCATGAGGTCTCCTGTCCTGTGTGATGCTCCCATGAGGACTCCTGCCCTGTGTGGTGCTCCCATGAGGACTCCTGTCCTGTGTGGTGCTCCCATGAGGTCTCCTGTCCTGTGTGGTGCTCCCATGAGGTCTCCTGCCCTGTGTGGTGCTCCCATGAGGTCTCCTGCCCTGTGTGATGCTCCCATGAGGACTCCTGTCCTGTGTGGTGCTCCCATGAGGACTCCTGCCCTGTGTGGTGCTCCCATGAGGTCTCCTGCCCTGTGTGATGCTCCCATGAGGACTCCTGTCCTGTGTGATGCTCCCATGAGGACTCCTGTCCTGTGTGGTGCTCCAATGAGGACTCCTGCCCTGTGTGGTGCTCCCATGAGGTCTCCTGCCCTGTGTGGTGCTCCCATGAGGACTCCTGCCCTGTGTGGTACTGTGGCCTCTTCAGAGTTCAGTTTACCACTCTACTCAGTTTTGAATTCCTTTTCCAGGAGGTTTTTTTTTGTTTTTGTTTTTGCCTCTGATAGACCATATATGTACTCATTACTTTATTTGGTTGGTAGTGTCTTTACTATTAAAAGTTATGTGAGAGGGGCTGGAGAGATGGTTCAGGGGTTAAGAGCACTGGCTGTTCTTCCAGAGGTCCTGAGTTCAATTCCCAGCAACCACATGGTGGCTCACAACCATCTGTAATGAGATCTGGTGCCTTCTTCTGGCGTACAGCCATACATGCAGACAGAACACTGTATACATAATAAATAAATATTAAAAAAAATTATGTGAGAGGTTAAGGCCACAGCTCAACAGAAAACGCTTACCTGGTATGAGGCCTTAGGTTTTATGCATAGCGCCCACGCCCACGGAAGAGACGTGATTGCTTCTTGTTAGGCAGAGGCTAGACCTAGCCACTTGACCCCTGGCTAGAACCTGTGGACCACTTCCAGCTGTGGTCTGTAGTGACTGTGTGTTATCACACACACACACACACACACACACACACACACACACACACACACACACACGTTCAGGGTCATCGTTCTGACGTCAGGGATTCCGCCCGATTAGTTTCTCTCCATCTTTCCAAACTTTCAGAAACATAAATAAACACTTTAATTGTTCATTTATTTTGCTGCTTTGCAAATTGGAAGGCAAATTGCAGTGAACTAAGTATACTTCCCAAAAATGAATAAATAAACAAACAAAAACAAAACAAAAAACAAAAACTGCTTTGATTTAAATGTTTGTGTCTCCCCAAATTACCATGTTTAAATCTTAACTCCCAAGGTGATCGTATAGGGGATGAAGGAGTCTTTCCTCTTATGCATGAGATCAGTACCTTATAAAGGGAGCCCCAGAGTGCTGTGACTCTTCCTCTGCCACACGAGACACAACTATGTAGGTTCTAGGGGCCGTCCTCAGGGTCTTACAGCCTCTACTTTCAGACCTTTAAAATGCCCCTGGTGTCACACTACTGACTGATGAGA